TTCTCTAATTCAAGAACAAATAAACGACATTTTGAAAATTTTGACCAGATTTTGTTGACAGTAACCCTAGGTTAATCTCCTAGGAATATGAAATATTATTGGGAATCTTAGAACTGAACCTCATTGTAACTTTTTTTAAATATAAATGAACGAGTGATGAATTATTGACGATGGGTTCATCAAATGTGAGCAAATGAATAAATTGCCTACAGAACTAACTATTTGGTTCTGCATAGTGGTGTCCCTTATAGGCTGCCATCAAACCTGGATTTATTCCAGAGAAAGGAGCCATAAATTTGTCCAAAATAGATGCACATATTACTTACTGAGTTTTATCAATGAAGCAACCACTATCTGAAAACATATGCATAGGTAACATGCAAGAGTTATTTTTGGCTGGGTAGGTCGAAATGGGACACTCTGTGTTCCTAATATTTCATAACTTTCAAAAGAACGAAATATCGCATTACTTCACTTCAAGAGAAAGAGAAGAAAAATTATTTGTCTAACCTCTCACAAGTATTTTTATCGTCTATTGTCTCTATTGTCTAACTACTTCTGAGCAGACTGAAAATGTCGTATCTTCAAAAGACCTTTACCAAAGATATATTGCTCGTATGAGGAAAGATACACTGAGCAAGAGAAAAAGATAATATTTCCAAGAGGGCTCCTTAATTGGTTGTTGCCTATCTGGACTTTGCCCTATGTGTGGTGTGAAATACGTGATAAAATGCAGGTTGTTTACAAGGAATTAAAACGCAATTAGGTTAATTCCAAGGTAGCTGAAAGCCAATCTTATTCGTAGAAAAAAAATTCAAAATGCGGGAGAATGCGTGGAAAATTCACTATCAGTAGCATGAAGTTTCATGTGGATTTTTTTCAGTGGTGTAGGATAGTGCGGTTAGAATACGTGATAAATTGCAGGTTGTTTACAAGAAAAGGACACGTGATAGAACGAAGACTAATGTGGTAAAATAAAATTTAATTGGTTGAATACAATTTAAAAAATTGCCTAATGCTAATGTAGTGCAATGATTGGGTATGTTCTGATTGGACTTTAGACGTTGTTTTTATAGTACGTGATGAAATGTACGTTGTTTGGCGTGTGCGTTGTGAGAATTGGAGCGAAAAAAACACGTTTTAACTAAAAAAAAAATTTGCAATAGAAGTAAATGTTTCCTATCCCGATAAATGCTGTGATATCATTGGTGCGAAATACAAACCCTAATGCAAAATTTTGATTAATGCGAGATACATGCCATAATGCGGCGATCTGATTGGTGCGAGCAACATACTACTCTTCACGCTAAAATAGGTTTTTTTTTTCACACAGTTGTTTCCACTCAAGTTGTTTCGATACAAGTCGAAGTCGATTCGTTACACATGTAAAGTCGATTCGATACAAACTGAGGTCGTTTCTATACAGAAGTAAACTCGAGAAAAGTTCAGTATAAGTGTCTTATTTCTCATCTTTGATATGTGTGGTGCAGGATGGTTGCCGCACTGAAACTGGTCGCCGCGCTGTCTAACTGTGGCCCTACATAGGTTGACTTTGGGACGGATGGAACACTGTCAGACAATACTAACGTTTCTCTGTAGGGTGTAGAAAATAACTCAATTGTCTATCAATTCTCTTTTGGAACTGCTAATTCTCCACGATCTCGTACGTCACGGTTCAGGCCGAAAAGGTTTATCACGTAATCGTCAACATCGAACTCTCGTCAACAGCCGTGATCTTCTGATCGAATGATAATTCTAAAGGTCCCAGTGTGTTTTGTACTCTAATAGCAGTTAATTTAAAGCGGATTGGATTGGTTAATTTGCTATCATAAGAACAATAAGGTGAAATCAGCAAGTTTTTTTTTACAACAATTAGTTTACGCGTCAATTGATATGATAATTTACAAACCCGCCTACCCACGCGCCAGAATTACTGCTGTTTCCTCACAGATTCGTTGCATCACCGACTTACACGACATTACAGTATTTCTGTTCCTTAATCGTAAGCATAACATGCATAATATGCGTTGGAGTCATAGAAGAAGTCTCAGATGTATTTATAAAAAGCTGTGTTCTCGATAAATAAACTTAGCGAAAACTTGGTCTCGTTTGCGTGTTCTCATTGCGTAGGAGGCTTGGGTACATGTGGAGGTTCGCGGAGGTATGAGTTTGTTTTATTTACAACGGAGGTTTGTGTTCGCTCTAGTAAGTATGTCGTTGAAGGTTCGTTTGGTCATTTATATATAGTATAGTATTCTGTATTGAAACGACTTGACGTAACGTGAGTTTATATCGAAACGACTTTGTATCGAAACGACCGGATTCCAATGTCGAATATCATCGCCAATTACATATAAGAAAACAAGCCTTTCCTAGTACAGTCTGCGATTTATTTGCGACATACACAGGCTGTTATGAAAATTGTATTTCAGCAGTTGAAATTTCTCCTCAATTTAGTCTTTGTTTAAAAGGAAAGTTAAAAAAGTAATTTGAGATGGAATCTGGAATCTGCAGGGGTAGAATCCGGAATCCAGCACCTGGAATCTGGAATCCTTAAAGTGGAATTCAGAATCTAATACTGTCCTGGATTACCTTAAATGAGGCGACCCACCAAATCCATGAGCTTATCGTTCTTAAGAGCTATGCGCCCGTAGTAAAGTTACCAGCGGTAAAAAGTTGAAGGTTTTGGTAATTCAAATGTGCTGACTTTCAACATGGAGGCTGGAATTGAGTCTTTTATGATGAAGGTTCGCATTGGAAAGGGGACTTTTTGAGTGAGCTTAACTATTAAATGTGTACGTTGATCTGGTAAAAGTACTGTCTTCTTTGATATTTGTTTGTTTTTTACTAATCAAAGCTTTTTCAATAGAACGAACAAGTGGGTCATTTTTGTTGTATAATTCTCCATATGGACTATTTACGTCCACTTTGAATAATAAGACTTCGTTTGCCGCATGAGGATCGCTTGCAGTTTTGAAAGGCGGCTGATGATTTTTTCTTTCGTGGTCAGAAAGTGACTGGGTTAGATATCCGCACAGCTCCATGCTTCATTATGCATACAGTACTTGGATAATGAAAATAATGGCGAAAAGAGTGAATTGTCTCTAGGACTATGGCTTTTTTTTAAAGTATAGGACTCCAGCCACCATCAGAAACGTTGGCATTGCCAGGTGGAAAAATCTTTTAAGTGTCTTCTTCAATTTTAAATTATCTTTGAGAGAGATTTGGTCAAAAAATAAATCAGCTGATGCAAAAAGATAAGTGGAAATGATCAGTTCCGTTAAAATACTTTGCTAACCCTTTAAATCCCATGAGTGACCAAAACAGAGTTTCTCTCTACAATATCACTACAGTGTTAAGCAGAAAAGTGATGCAGGTATATCAAAATATCAATTAGCAATTGTTAGTTGATCCAATGCCAAGTTTTCCAAACTCACATCACAAGAATTGTATGGCAGACAGTAAAGAGAATTACTAATGAGATCTTGGGAGTGAAAACATTAACCAAAAAGTCAACAAATGAAGATCAAACCTCTTACTTGTATGTCCTACAGATGAAGTTTGTGTCCGAAATGAGTCAGAAAGACGTCTAGAAAGAAGAAAAAAAGATCAAGAAAACACAAATAAACAGCAGAGTGTAGAACCATAGATATTGAGGATGCCTGCTGGGGTATCCTGGCCTCAATATTTAACTTTCTTTGCAGTCAGTTCAACAACTTGCCTGGCAAGAAGTCAGGTGGTGCACTTGTACTACAGACCAAATCTGGTGAGGTTGTTTCGTTATGTTTATTTTATGATTCATGAAAAATTAGGAGATAATAGATCCTGACTGAAAAAACTTACCCTTTGATTTACCTACATTTCAGCAAAGTTTCCTTTTTAAATTTTTTGCACCTCTAAAAAAAAACTGGTCTGAAAGATCAGCTGAGTTATTTTTGTTTGATTGCAGTCCAGAAACTTGACTCTTTATTTTCAAGATTTGTGTTTTTTTTATTCTCCTGAGCTGCTATATAAAATATTTGTTTAAAAGCTAAGAGAATTAAGAGTTGTATCTTGTATCTGAGGAGTTAAATTATTCTGACGATTTGCTTACTGATTGATGCAGTGGAATTATGGGGAGAAATTTCACATTAATCGTTTGTTGGAATTGATTGTAGGTTTCATTGATTGTCCATAATTAATTGGAGCTACCATTTTTACATGAAGCTCTTTGTTAGCAGAAATTTTCCACTTGCAGGCATGGAAACCCTGATCGAAAGGGGGCAAAATTGTTTTGAAAAAGTTTTGATTCTGTCAAATAAAGTATGCAATCAGCTTCCAACTGAATTCTCCTTTACCCTATGTGATAATAAGTGACTAGGGACTGGGAATGAGTAAGGATTAAACAGGAAAATGGGAATAATATGTGTTATTAACCTACCAAATTGGATTCAGATTTGATGAGTGAGATCAAGTAAAGGACAATTTACAAAGCATTTAAACAAAGGGAGTTTATTTTATAGTCATGAATTCTTACGATCCACAATAATTCCTCACTTTGCTCACTAAAACTTTTAAATTTCTTTAAAACTCTCTGATATAACAGGCATCTTCCTCAAGGCAAAAGTTATGTTTGCTTAATGAAACCGCCAATATAAATCTCATCTCCTGACTAAAAGAATAGATACTCTTGTTATGAGCTTGGGCAATCTGTGCTCACTGACCCTTTGAAATTTTCTTTTTACATTTTATATGAAGGAAATTCCAGATGTACCCCCAGATCCAAAGGACTTTCCAGAACAAACAGGATGGATCAAATTTATTTCCATAAAAGAAACTGGTTGTGAATACAATTCAATTTAAAAATATTGAATTAGTTGGGAGATTCAGTGATAAATATTTTTCCTTCAAATTGTGATCTTGCAACAAATCTCTTGTTTTCATTAAATGTTTTAAAAGGGTTTCAAGACTATTTTTCAAGATACTGAAAAAAAGGTGATAGGAGATAGTACTCGTGACATACAGTAACTTCAATTTTTGGGCTGTAAGGAAAATGTGAGAAAATCATGAAATCTAGAATAAAGGATGAATGGAAAAAAGAATATTCTACTCCAGTCCTCAAGTGAAGATGTCAGGGCTGATTAGGACTGGGCTCTTGACACTTCCTCTATTATTATCCGGGATACTGATTGCCATCCAGTGCGAGCATCACCCAGTGTATGACCACTGGAACACTTTCCTACCCATAACTCCACGGTAACCCAGCCCTGTGGAATATTTTCACAGTATCCCTCAAATGATCTGTGATGAAGCAGATTAGGATTCCCAGATGGCCAGCTGTTGTACACAGCAGCCTCAATTGTCATTGGTCCACTGCATTCATTTCCATTAAACTTGAAGAACCACCTGTTGCATTTAGGAGTGCCATAGACTTGTGTATTTCCCTGGAATGAGACTTTAATAGCTGTATCAGACTGCAGCTTGTTGAATGAGCATTCCTATAAAAAATGCCATGAATACAGTGTTACTGCCAAAAAAACTGTTTATAAGAGTTTCACAGGAAATAATTTGATAATGACCTTGTACTTTTGCAGCCTGCAAGAATGCATAGAACTGTTAATTGATATTTCTAGTTCAGCTGCATATTTCAAAAGCCTTTTTCAGAGATGGTCATGACAAATTGGCTCTAATGCTTTATTTTTCATTGCATTTTCTAGATATTTCTGTACCTTAATCTTTCCACTATCTCTATAATCATCATTTTTCCATACACACTGTTTCCAGTTGGTCTGTGACACTGCACTATTCACGATTTCTCCTTTCTCTCCTTTAGATCCCTGCTCTCCTTTCACACCCTTGATTCCTGGCGGTCCACTGCTGCCACGTGACCCTTCATGACCCTTATCTCCTGTTCTTCCCATCATTCCAGGTGCACCATTCTTACCCAGTGACCCTGGATTTCCTTTTAGTCCTCTTGTTCCCGTCATACCTCTCGGTCCCTTGACACCAGGCTCCCCCTTGGCTCCATCTTTTCCTTGTTGTCCTTGTGGCCCTGGGGCGCCAGGAATTCCCGGCATTCCTGGTATGCCATTCGATCCTGGAATCCCAGAAAATCCGCGAGCAAAAATGGATTTCTGAGGAAGAAAAAAGAACATATTGTAATTTGATGGATGTACTTGATGTTCATTGATATTTACTTGTTAGCCGAAGTAGCCCAGAAGTTTCTTTAGAAACTAATCTTGATGAGGATTTAGCTTCATTTTAGGGGAAACAGCTCGGAACATGGAATGATCTCGTAACGTTGTATACGTAGAGATATCCCTAAAAGAAACTTAATTCAGCAATGTTCTACTTTGTCTTTGAAAACTTATGATTGATAAGGGTTTTTTTTGTGCTTAGCTTGGCAGACATGAGTGGTAAACTGAGGTATGACAGATAAAGCATGGTTAAGAGTACCTCACATGGGTCTTTGTCAGCGCCAGTTTGTGGATTCTGTTGTTGAGGACTGGTGGTTGTTCCCGTGGAACTTGCTCCTGTTTTGAATGAGACAAATGACAAAGCAGCAAGGATCAGGAGCTTTGCCATACTTCGATGGTTACTTTGCGCGAATAGTGCGTGTTCTATGACTGAAATATATATCTCCTTATGTACGTGCCTATTTATATCCTACTGAATTTCATTAAATGCAGCTGTCAGTTCTCATGTTAAATAACAATCTTAATTAAGAAGCCTGGAGCTAAATGATAAGGATGTCTGAAACTACTCGAACTCACACACCGGGTAAACAACTTGACTGTGACATCCTTATCAGTCCACTAATGAAGCACCTACTTACCAACAGACCAACGTTTCACTCAGATTTAGAGAAATTACGCAGTAAAATCTGGACCACAAAATCTTCCTCTTCTGATCAAACGTGACATATGGAGAAGCAAAAAGAAGTTTGATATGGTCTGTGATATGATATTCATTTGTCCTTAGCTCTGTTTCGGTATCCATGTTATTGGATCCACTCCATTATTATTACTCCATTATTTAATTGAAAAAACAGGTGATAGCACCCATAGGCGTACGTGCCGTTGGGGCTGGGGGGGCTGAAACACCCCCCTCCCCCCGCTCTTCCAAATTTTGCGCAACTCAGATTTTTGGGGCAGCAAGAGAAATTTGGGCAAACCAAATTTTTACAAAAGTTTCCATATTTCGTTTCGGTAATGGAATCGCACTTATTAACTTTGAAAGGGCATATGCCAACTCTGTAGTCAGCAATGGATCGTATCATTGATATCTTGGGTCGTCGAAATGGCAGAGACAGCTTTATATTTCTTTTAACGTGTGTTATAGGCTCATATGATAGATTGATAGGAAAGAATATATTCATTTCGTATGTAGGCCTATGTTAGTTTATCGTATGACCCCTGTTCCTCTTCGACTGTTTCATAAAGTGTTTTTTTGGGCAAGTGGTTCACTCCTTCCCCCCCCCCCCCCCGCGGCAACAAATGGCCCCTACCGGCACCCATGATAGCATTAGTTAGTTTGACCTGCTATTAAATATCACAGATAACAGTGTTGTAATTAACAAAATGCGGCAGGATAAAAGCGGTCAAACCCTTAGATGTTCAGGAGAGTGTTTCTGTGGACTCTGAAGCGCCTGATATCATGTTTATTTGTTCTATGGTCGATTACTGTGTTCATGCTTATATTGAGGCGGTGAGATATGTTTTCATCTCCAAAATCTGCTTTTGTGTATAAATGGTACAAATTGCAGACGCTTGCTGTGTAGTTAAAATTAAGAACGATATTTTCCACAGGACTTAATAGGTTTTTTATCAGCGTAAGGGTCACATCTGTTACTGTTATCGGATGACCGAATTTATCTCTAGAATGTAAACCTTTAATGCTTCAGATTATTTTTCACACAGTCTTATGTGCCGCTATCTCGCTGGAATGACTAATTAGAATAGTTGTATCACATTGCAGCTCGTTGAATGAGCAATCCCATAAAATATGACGAGAAGACAGCCTTAGAGGAAAAGTATGTTTTATAAGAAAGTTACAGGAAATAATTTGATGATGACCTTGTACTTTTCCTGTCTGCTGGAATGAACAGAATTGTTAATCGATATTTACAGTTTGGCGGCATTTCTCTAAAGTCTTTTTCAGAGATGGCCATGACAAATTGGCTCCAATATTTAGTTTATTTTCATTACATTTTCTGGATATTTCTGTTCCTTAATCTTTCCGCGATCTCTACCGTCATTCCGATATTTCCACACACTCTTTCCCGTTGATCTGTGGCAGTGTACCCCTCACGCTTTTAAATATCACAGATAACAGTGTTGAAATTAACAAACTGCGGCAGGATAATAGCGGTCAATCGCTCAGATGTTCAGGAGAGTGTTTCTGCAGACTCTGAGGCGCCTGATATCATGTTTATTTGTTCTATGGTCGATTACGATATTCATACTTATATTGAGGCGGTGAGATATATTGTCATCTCCAAAATCTGTTTTTGTGTATTAATGCTACAAACTGCAGACTTATGTTGTGAAGTTAAAATTAAGAACGATATTTTTGTGTTTCTTTTTGGTATGTTCTCGAAACTGATGTTTCTATAATTACCACTATTTTGGGTGTTTTATTTTTCTACAAGACTTAAAGGTTTCTTATCAGCCTAAGGGCCACATCTGTTTTTTCGGATAACGGAGTTTATCTCTAGAATGTAAGCCGCCTTGATTGCTTCAGATTATTACACAGTCTTATGTGCCGCTATCTCACATGGTGCACAGGTGTGGTGTCAACTTCCAAGGTTAAGAAAACACAACCGAGGGAGAATATCTTTGCATATCTTTTTGATAGTAGCTAGTGAGGGTTAGTAAGGGTTAGAGTTGTAACAGCAAGACATGTTATATAAGATAAGAAGATTATGAAATCCAAGATTCATGGTGCCTTCCACCAAGTTTGCTCAAGCTATTTCCCCTATATGTTCAAATACATTTCTAACTGAGCACCTAATTAAACTGGCGTACTAACGTGTTTGATTTAGGAAATAGGTGATAGCATTCGTTAGCTTGAACCTTTTTTCAAATATGACAGATAACAATTTTTTTATCAGAAAATTTAGCAGTAAAAGGTGCCAAGCCCTTAGATCTTCAAAGAGGGTAATTTTGTAACTGTGGTACTGCGTCGGTGAGGGGTATTACAGGATTATTTGGTTTTATCAGCTGAACTGATAACGTAAATTGGCCAGCGTAAAGAGTTTCAAAAGCATCTGCCACGTGAACAACCTACATTACATTTGTCTCCTTTTAATCCTATCATTTTAGGTGCACCACGGTCATTACAGTCCCTTGACACCAGGCTTCCCCTTAGCTCTATCTTTCCTCATTGTCCTTGCGGCCCTGGGGCTCCAGGAATTCCCGGCATTCCTGGTATGCCATTCGATCTAGGAATCACAGAAAATTTGTGAGCAAAAAGGAGTTATGGAAAGAAAAAAATACTGATAAGGTGGAAAAACAACAACAACAAGAAAAAAGTATTAGTGCAAAATAAATTTCTTGTAATGATAACATAGGGAATAAATTGAAAGATTTTCTCGATATTTCCTTACTTTGATCTTTCCATTGTCTTAATTATCATCTCCTTTCCACACATACTGTTTCCAGTTGGTCTGTGGCACTGTACTATTCACGATTTCTCCTTTCTCTCCTTTAGATCCCTGCTCTTCTTTCACACCCTTGATTCCTGGCGGTCCACTGCTGCCACGTGACCCTTCATGACCTTTATCTTCTTTTATTCCCATCATTCCAGGTGCACCATTTTTACCAAGTGACTCTTGATTTCTTTTTTCTCTTCTTATTCCCGTCATCCCTCACGGTATCTTGACACCAAGCTTTCCCTTAGCTCCCTAAGAAATAATTAAGTTGTTGTCATAATTCGGGAAATCACACAGGAAAAATACTTCGAATTTCATTAAAGCATCGCATCCTCATGAGCATTAATATCTGAAGAATATCGCTGTGCTGTCTAACTGTGGCCCTACATAGGTTGACTTTGGGACGGATGGAACACTGTCAGACAGTGACTAAGCCTCGCCTTCTCTGTAGGGTGTAGCTGTACCCCTGGCTGTCTATCAACTTCGGCCGGCCTCTTTTGGAACTGTTAATTCTCCACAATCTCGTACGTCACGGTTCAGGCCGAAAAGGTTCATCGCGTAATCGTCAACATCGAACTCTCGTCAACTGTCGTGATCGTCTGATCGAATGATAATTCTTCAGGTCCCAGTGTGTTTTGTACTCTAATAGCAGTTAGATTAAAGCGGATTGGATTGGTTAATTTGCTATCATAAGAACAATAAGGTAAAATCAGCGAGTTTTTTTTTTACAACAATTAGTTTACGCGTCAATTGATATGATAATTTACAACCCGCCTACCCACGCGCCAGAATTACTGCAGTTTCCTCACAGGTTCGTTGCATCACCGACTTACACGACATTACAGTATTTCTGTTCCTTAATCGTAAGCATAACATGCATAATATGCGTTGGAGTTACAGAAGAAGTCTCAAATGTATTTATAAAAAGCTGTGTTCTCCATAAATAAACTTAGCGAAAACTTAGTCTCGTTTGCGTGTTTTCATTGCGTAGGAGGCTTGGGTACATGTGGAGGTTCGCGGAGGTATGAGTTTGTTTTATTTACAACGGAGGTTTGTGTTCGCTCCAGTAAGTATGTCTTTGAAGGTTCGTTTGGTCATTTATTTATAGTATAGTATTCTGTATTGAAACGACTTGAAGTAACGTGAGTTTGTATCGAAACGACTTTGTATTGAAACGACCGGATTCCAATTAAATATAAGAAGTATATAAAAATATCATCGCCAATTAAATATAAGAAAACAAGCCTTTCTTAGTACAGTCTGCGATTTATTTGCGACATACATAGGCTGTCATAAAAATTGTATTTCCGTTTAAATTTTTCCTCAATTTGGTCTTTGTTTAAAAGGAAAGTTAAAAAAGTAATTTGAGATGGAGTCCGGAATCCAGCACCTGGAATCTGGAATCCTTAAAGTGGAATTCAGAATCTAATACTGTCCTGGATTACCTTAAATGAGGCAACCCACCAAATCCATGAGCTTATCGTTCTTAAAAGTTATGTGCCCGTAGTAAAGTTACCAGCGGTAAAAAGTTCAAGGTTTTGGTAATTCAAATATGCTGACTTTCAACATGGAGGCTGGAATTGAGTTTTTATGATGAAGGTTCGCGTTGGAAAGGAAACTTTTTGTAAGTGAGCTTAACTATTAAATGTGTACGTTGATCTGGTAAAAGTACTGTCTTCTTTTATATTAGTTTGTTTTTATTTGTCAAAGCCTTATCAATAGAACGAACAAGTGGGTCATTTTTGTTGTATAATTCTCCATATGAACTATTTACGTCCACTTTGAATAATAAGACTTCGTTTGCCGCATGAGGATCGCTTGCAGTTTTGAAAGGCGGCGGATGATTTTTCCTTTCGTAGTCACAAAATGACTGGGTTAGATATCCGCACAGCTCCATGCTTCATTATGTATACAGAACTTGGATAATGAAAATAATGGCGAAAGGACTGAGTAAATTGTCTCTAGGACTACGGCTTTGTTTTAAAGTATAGGACTCCAGCCACCATCAGAAACGTTGGCATTGCTAAGTGGGAAAATCTTCTTCTAAAAATGTTTTAAGTGTCTCCTTCAATTTTAAATTATCTTTGAGAAAGATTTGGTCAAAAAATAAATCAGCTGATGCAAAAGGATAAATGGAAATGATCAGTTCCGTTAAAATACTTTGCTAACCCTTTAAGTCCCATGAGTGACCAAAACAGAGTTTCTCTCTACAATATCACTACAGTGTTAAGCAGAAAAGTGATGCAGGTATATCAAAATATCAATTAGCAATTGTTAGTTGATCCAATGCCAAGTTTTCCAAACTCACATCACAAGAATTGTATGGCAGACAGTAAAGAGAATTACTAATGAGATCTTGGGAGTGAAAACATTAACCAAAAAGTCAACAAATGAAGATCAAACCTCTTACTTGTATGTCCTACAGATGAAGTTTGTGTCAGAAATGAGTCAGAAAGATGTCTAGAAAGAAGAAAACAAGAACAAGAAAACACAAATAAACAGCAGAGTGTAGAACCATAGATATTGAGAATGCCTGCTGGGGTATCCTGGCATCAATATTTAACTTTCTTTGCAGTCAGTTCAGCAACTTGCCGGGCAGAAAGTCAGGTGGTGTACTTGTACTACAGACCAAATCTGGTGAGGTTGTTTTGTTGTACTTATTTTATGATTCATGAACAATTAGGAGATAATAGATCCTGACTGGAAAAACTTACCCTTTGATTTACCTACATTTCAGCAAAGTTTCCTTTTTAAATTTTTTGCACCTCTAAAAAAAACTGTTCTGAAAGATCAGCTGAGTTATTTTTGTTGGTTTGCAGTCCAGAAACTTGACTCTTTATTTTCAAGATTTGTGATTTTTTATTCTCCTGAGCTGCTATATAAAATATTTGTTTAAAAGCTAAGAGAATTAAGAGTTGTATCTTGTATCTGAGGAGTTAAATTATTATGACGATTTGCTTACTGATTGATGCAGTGGAATTATGGAGAGAAATTTCACATTAATCACTTGTTGGAATTGATTGTAGGTTTCACTGATTGTCCATAATTAATTGGAGCTGCCATTTTTACATGAAGCTCTTTGTTAGCAGAAATATTCCGCTTGCAGGCATGAAAACCCTGATCGAAAGGGGGCAAAATTGTTTTGAAAAAATTTTGATTCTGTCAAATAAAGCATGCAATCAGCTTCCAACTGAATTCTTCTCTACCCTATGTGATAATAGGGTGACTAAGGACGGGGAATGAGTAAGGATGAAACAGGAAAATGGGAATAATATGTGTTATTAACCTACCAAATTGGATTCAGATTTGATGAGTGAGATCAAGTATAGGACAATTTACAAAGCATTTAAACAAAGGGAGTTTATTTTATAGTCATGAATTCTTACAATCCACAATAATTCCTCACTTTGCTCACTAAAACGTTTAAATTTCTTTTAAACTCTCTGATATAACAGGCTTCTTCCTCAAGGTAAAAGTTATGTTTGCTTAATGAAACCACCAATATAAATCTCATTTCCTGACTAAAAGAAAAATGGTAGATACTCTTGTTATGAGCTTGGGCTATCCGTGCTCACTGCCCCTTTGAAATTTTCTTTTTACATTTTATATGAAGGAAATTCCAGATGTACCCCCAGATCCAAAGGACTTTCCAGAACAAACAGGATGGAGAAAATTTATTTCTATAAAAAGAAACTAGTTGTGAATATAATTCAATTTAAAAATATTGAATTAGTTGGGAGATTCAGTGATAAATATTTTTCCTTCAAATTGGGATCTTGCAACAAATCTCTTGTATTCATTAAATGTTTTAAAAGGGTTTCAAGACTATTTTTCAAGATACTGAAAAAAAGGTGATAGAAAATAGTACTCTTGACATACGGTAACTTCAATTTTTGGGCTGTAAGGAAAATGTGAGAAAATCATGAAATCTAGAATAAAGGATGAATGGAAAAGAGAATATTCTACTCCAGTCCTCAAGTGAAGATGTCAGGGCTGATTAGGACTGGGCTCTAGACACTTCCTCTATCATTATCCGGGATACTGATTGCCATCCAGTGTAAGCATTACCCAATGTATAACTACCGTGACAATGTCCTACCCATAACTCCACAGTAACCCTGCCCTGTGGAATATTTTCACAGTATCCCTCAAATGATCTGTGATGAAGCAGCTGAGGATTCCCAGATGGCCAGCCGTTGTACACAGCAGCCTCAATTGTCATTGGTCCACTGCATTCATTTCCATTAAACTTGAAGAACCACCGGTTGCATTTAGAAGTGCCATAGACTTTTGCATTTCCCTGGAATGAGACTTTAATAGCTGTATCAGACTGCAGCTTGTTGAATGAGCAATCCTATAAAAAATGCCATGAATACAGTGTTACTGCCAAAAAAAATGTTTTATAAGAGTTTTACAGGAAATAATTTGATGATGACCTTGTACTTTTGCAGCCTGCAAGAATGCACAGAATTGTTAATTGATATTTCTAGTTCAGCTACATATTTCAAAAGCCTTTTTCAGAGATGGTCATGACAAATTGGCTCTAATGCTTTATTTTTCATTGCATTTTCTAGATATTTCTGTACCTTAATCTTTCCACTATCTCTATCATCATCATTTTTCCACACACACTGTTTCCAGTTGGTCTGTGACACTGCACTATTCACGATTTCTCCTTTCTCTCCTTTAGATCCCTGCTCTCCTTTCACACCCTTGATTCCTGGCGGTCCACTGCTGCCACGTGACCCTTCATGACCTTTATCTCCTTTTATTCCCATCATTCCAGGTGCACCATTTTTACCCAGTGACCCTGGATTTCCTTTAAGTCCTCTTGTTCCCGTCATACCTCTCGGTCCCTTGACACCAGGCTCCCCCTTGGCTCCATCTTTTCCTTGTTGTCCTTGTGGCCCTGGGGCGCCTGGAATTCCCGGCATTCCTGGTATACCATTCGATCCTGGAATCCCAGAAAATCCGCGAGCAAAAATTGATTTCTGAGGAAGAAAAAAGAACATATTGTAATTTGATGGACGTACTTGATGTTCATTGATATTTACTTGTTAGCCGAAGTAGCCCAGAAGTTTCTTCAGAAACTAATCTTGATGAGGATTTAGCTTCATTTTAGGGGAAACAGCTCGGAACATCGAATGATCTCGTAACGTTGTACACGTAGAGATATCCCTAAAAGAAACTTAATTCAGCAATGTTCTTCTTTGTCTTTAAAAACTTATGATTGATAAGGGTTTTTTTTGTGCTTAGCTTGGCAGACATGAGTGGTAAACTGAGGTATGACAGATAAAGCATGCTTAAGAGTACCTCACATGGGTCTTTGTCAGCACCAGTTTGTGGATTCTGTTGTTGAGGACTGGTGGTTGTTCCCATGGAACTTACTCCTGTTTTGAATGAGACAAATAACAAAGCAGCAAGGATGAGAAGCTTCGCCATACTTCGATGGTTACTTTGCGCGAATAGTTCGTGTTCTATGACTGAAATATATATCTCCTTATGTACGCGCCTATTTATATCCTACTGAATTTCATCAAATGCAACTGTCAGTTCTCATGTTAAATAACAATCTTAATTAAGAAGCCTGAAGCTAAATGATAAGGATGTCTGAAACTACTCGAACTCACACACCGGGTAAACAACTTGACTATGTCATCCTTATCAGTTCACTAATGAAGCACGTACTGACCAACAGACCAATGTTTCACTCAGATTCAAAGAAATTACACAGAAAAATCTGGACCACAAAATCTTCCTCTTCTGATCAAACGTGACATATTGAGAAGCCAAAAAAGTTCGATATGGTCTGTGATATGATGTTCATTTGTCCTTAGCTCGATTTCGGTATCCATGTTATTGGATCCACTCCATTATTATTACTCCATTATTTAATTGAAAAAAAAAAAGGTGTTAGCACCCATAGAGGTACGTACCATTGGAGCTTGGGGGCTACAACACCCCCCTCCCTCCCCCCGCCCTTCCAAATTTTGGGCAACTCAGATTTTTGGGGTAGCAAGAGAAATTTGGGCAAACCAAATTTTTACAAAAGTTTCCATGTTTCGTTTCTTCTTTTTTTTTCTTTGAAAGATTTTTTTATTTTGAGCTTAAGTCGGCATGGTAAAGCCAGTTAAATTAATCTCCGGACTGTGTGTTGAGAGCAATTCTGAGCAACACTCGTAGTCTGTGCTGATATCTTCAGGCGAAGACGGTCGACGTCATTTCCACTCGTAGAAATGCCGACATGACCATTCAGAGCCTACGCCACTGTCGTAGTGAAGAAGGTTCCAACAGCGTATTGCAGATAGTTTCAGCAATGGGTCTCTAAGTTAAGAAGTGGTTAAACAATTCTCAGTTTGAATTACAAGAAACCAGGGCACTCAGACAAACGCCATCGCGCAACCTTTAAGACCTTGTGGGTGATCACGTGCAAAGACAAACGCGGCTGACAATGGAATCGCACCACCATATAAACACTTACTATGCGTCCATCAACAAGGTGATGACCGAGCTTGAGCCCAGGTTTTAGTAGAAATAATCTATGCTTTGGAAAATATGTGTTACTGTGAAACACCAGATAAAGAAAGCTCCAGCGTTGATAAATGTTACAAAATCGACGGCGGGATTCTGGAAACTGAGCAGAAGAGGTACGCGAGCTTTCGTCGTGTGCGCGGATTAGGTCACACGACTGTTTCCGAACTGCTAATGGCAATACAGGAAAAGGTTCTATTTGATACGTTTTCACATTTTTCCGAATAAAGTAGTACATATCGTTGCATTGACACCCACTACAGAACGATCATTTGGTGCATTGCGCAGATTAAAACTTACCTCTGCAGCACCATGGAGCAACAAAGTATCGGTAACGGCATCGCACTTATTAACTTTGAAAGGGCATATGCCAACTCTGTAGTCAGCAATGGATCGTATCATTGATATCTTCGGTCGTCGAAATGGCAGAGACAGCTTTATGTTTCTTTTAACGTGTGTTATGGGCTCGTGATAGATTGATAGGAAAGAATATATTCATTTCGTATGTAGGCCTATGTTAGTTTATCGTATGACCCTTGTTTCTCTTCGACTGTTTCATAAAAATTTGGGCAAATTGCGAGAATTGTTTGAGCGAGTGGTTCACTTCCTCTCCCTCACCCCACTCCCCCCGGCAAAAAAGTGGCTCGTAGCGGCACCCATGATAGCATTGGTCGGTTTGACCCGCTCTTAAATATCACAGATAACAGTGTTGTAATTGACAAACTGCGGCAGGATAAAAGCGGTCAAGCCCTTAGAAGTTCAGGAGAGCGTTTCTGCGGACTCTGAAGCGCCTGATATCATGTTTATTTGTTCTATACGGCATTCATGCTTATATTGAGGTGGTGAGATATATTTTCATCTCCAAAATCTGTTTTTGTGTATCAATGGTACAAATTGTAGGCGCTTGTTGTGTACTAAAAATTAAGAGCGACATTTTTGTGTCTCTTTTGGTATGTTCTAGAAAGTGATGTTTCTACTAATTACCACTATTTTTGGTGTTTCTATTCTACAAGACTGAAAGGGTTTTTGTCAGCGCAAGGGTCACATCTGTTACTGTTATTGGCTAACAGAATTTATCTCTAGAATGTAAGCCTTCAATGCTTTAGAAAATTTTTTACATAGTCTTATGTGCCGCTATCTCGCTGGAATGAAAATTTTAATAGCTGTATCAGACTGCAGCTTGTTAAATGAGCAATCGTATAAAATATGCTGAGAAGACAGGCTCAGTGGAAAAAAACATGTCTTATAAGGAATAATTTGATGATGACCTTGAACGCACAGAATTGTTAATTGATATTTTTAGTTTGGCGGCATTTCTCAAAAGTCTTTTTCAGAGATGGCCGTGACAAATTGGCTCTAACACTTAATTTATTTTTCATTGCATTTTCTGGATATTTCTGTTCCTTAATCTTTCCACGATCTCTATCATCATGCAGATTTTTCCACACACACTGTCTCCAGTTGGTCTGTGACAATGTGCCATTCACGCTTTTGAATATCGCAGATCACAGCGTTGTAATTGACAAACTGCGGCAGGATAAAAGCGGTCAAGCCCTTTGATATTTAGGAGAGCGTTTCTGCGAACTCTGAAGCGCCTGATATCGTGTTTATTTGTTCTTTGGTCGATTACGGTATTCATACTCATATTGAGGCGGTGAGATATATTTTCATCTGGAAAATCTTTTTTTTTTGTATTAATGGTACAAATTGCAAACTCGCCTTTGAGAAGTTTAAATTAAGAACGATATATTTGTGTCTCTTTTTGGTATGTTCTCGAAAATGATGTTTTTATAATTACTACTATTTTAGGTGTTTCATTTATCTACAAGACCTACAGGTTTTTATTTATCAGTGTAAGGGTCACATCTGTTTCTGTTTTCGGATAAGGGACTTTATCTCTAGAATGTAAGCCTTCAATGCTTCAGATTATTTTTCACACAGTCTTATGTGCCGCTATCTCGCATAGAACACAGGTGTGGTGTCAACTTCCAAGGTTAAGAAAACACAACCAAGTGAGAATATCTTTGGATATCTTTTGGTGATTTTAGTTAGCTTGGGCGAGAGTTGTAGCAGCAAGACATGTTACGTAAAAAAAGAAGACTTTTAGATCCAAGATTCATGGTACCTTCCACTCAGTTTGTTCAAGCTATTTCCCCCATACGTTCAAATACTTATCTTACTGAGCATCTAATTAAACTGGCGTAATAACTTGTTTATTTAGGAAATAGGTGATGACATTATTTAGCTTGTCTCCTTTTTTAAATACTACAGATAACAGTGTTTTAATCAGCAAAATGCAGCAGGAAAAGGCAGCCAAGCCCTTAGATATTCAAAGAGGGTAATTGTGTCACTGTGGTACTGCGTCGGTGAGGGGTATTAAAAGATAATTTGGTTTCATCAATTGAATTGATAATGTAAATTGACCAGCGTAAAGAGTTTCTAAAGCATCTGCCACGTGAACCTTCTTTACCTCTATCTGCTTTGAATTCTATCATTCCAGGTGCGCCACGGTCTACGGTCCCTAGACACCAGGCTCATCCTTAGCTTCATCTCTTCCCTGTTGTCCTTGCGGCCTCGGGGCGCCGGTAATTCACGGCATTCCAGGTATGCCATTCGATCCAGGAATCCCGGAAAATCCGGGAGCAAAAATAGGTCTCTGGAAAGAAAAAAATATACACAGCTTGGGTGGAAAACAACAAGAAAACATTTTTAGTGCAGAGAAATTTCTTATAATGATAATGTAAGGAATAAATTGAACAGTTGAAGATCTTCTTAAAAATTTCCTTATTTTCACGTTTCCACTGTCCTAATTATCTTCTCCTTTCCACACACACTGTTTCCAGTTGGTCTGTGACACTGCACTATTCACGATTTCTCCTTTCTCTCCTTTAGATCCCTGCTCTCCTTTCACACCCTTGATTCCTGGCGGTCCACTGCTACCACGTGACCCTTCATGACCTTTATCTCCTTTTATTCCCATCATTCCAGGTGCACCATTTTTACCAAGTGACCCTGGATTTCTTTTTTCTCTTCTTGACACCAGGCTTTCCCTCAAGTCCATCTTTTCTCTTCTCTTTCAGCCATATCGGTAAATATCAATTTGCTAAATTTATCGTTTTCGCAGGGTTTTAAAATAATGTTATATATATTTCACGGAGAGAAATTCTCTCAGTTCCAAGGAAGAATTAGAAAACAATCTTATGCCGCTGTAATGGTATTTCCAGAGAATGACAACTCGCCCCTTCAAAGGAGCTATCGCTTCAAAGAATAAGTCAACAATTTTTAATGAGCATGCGTTAACTGTACATGAAATTATGTGCAGATGGATAAGCTATGCACTTTGCTCTGTAATTTGCTTCAGGTCTCCAGAAACGTCAAACTGAACATCCAAGGGCTTGATCGCTTTTGTCCTGCCGCGTTTTGCTTATTACGTATACAACATTCAGTA